TAGCCAGATTACCCAGGTTGGCCTCATTGCGGATTAGGGAAGCAGTGACCACCTGGGGCCCTGCTGGAGAGCTGCCCTGGGCTAGATGACTGGGTGTCCCCAAGCAGAGTGGCCTGTCCCTCCTGGGCCTCATCGATGGTCTGCTGGCCACTGACTGCTCCTCCACACCTTACCAGGCACCCCACAGACAGAGCCCTGCTGGTGTAGGCCAGCTCACCACACGCCCTCCCAGGGTCTCCCTCCGGAGCAACACATAGCCTCCCAGCCCCCTAGCTCAGTGCCTGCCTTGATTCCTGTCTTCTGAGGCTCCAGATGCACCTGACCTTCCTCAGCCCATCTTGTTCATGTGGCTGGGTGGGCAAGTGCGCATCTCTAGGGTGAGGAGCAGCCTTTGCCCTCTGCTGAGCAGGTGGTGCTGGCTGCCCTGGGAGGGATTTAGTGCTTAGAGGGTGGAGAGCAGGCAAGGATTACCACTCTCCTCTCAGCTCATCCCGAGCAGCCCCAAGGTGAGCACGGAGGCTGCACCCCACGCAGAAGGTAGGTCCTGTATGAGGGGTGCTGGGGTGATCCGATGGGCACAGAGCAGGCTAAGCTGATGCTTCCAGAGCTCCCCCACTGTTCCTGCCCTCGGCGTTTTCACCTGTGGCAGGTGTCTGAGCCCTGTGCTATGAGCTGGGAGGGTGGCACCCATTGCTCTCCTGCTGGCTTCATGAGACCCAAGTATCAGAGAAGGGGAGTCAGGAAGCTGTGGTCGTTTGTGGTCAGCCCCTTGCTTTTCAGTGGAAGTTCCCAGAACAGAGCTTGGGTTCCGCTGACCTTGACCAAGGGTACCTCTGGGGTGTGGTGCCAGGAGACACAGGAATTGGGACCCGGACATGCCCCTCCCAGGAGCTCCTTGACGGTGGGATAGGAGTGGACAGCTGGGGAGGCCACACATTTGTGGTCAGTGCATGTGTCACCAGGTAGCACGCCCAAAGGGAGGCATAGCCAGGGTTTGAGCATGGCTCTGAGTGACTGCCCACAGCTCTGCCCAATTTCTGGGGTGAATTCACTTGGGGCAGAGGTGGGGGCACTGCAGCCACCTCGCCCACTTCCATAGGGAGCAAGGCCCTGCTGATATTTGTCTCCCCCGTCCCCCGCTACAGGGATGTCGGGACCAAGGCCCGTTGTCCTGAGCGGACCCTCAGGGGCTGGGAAGAGCACCCTGCTGAAGAGACTCCTGCAGGAACACAGCAGCATCTTCGGCTTCAGCGTGTCCCGTGAGGCCCCAGGGGAGGTGGGGGAGGGTCTCAAGGAAGCTGGGGGCGGGGACCCCTGCTGACATGCTCTGAAGCCCCCCACACTCCCACACGGTGGGGCGGAAGCCCCCACACTGCTGACCCTAACCTGGAGCCTCCTCTCCCACACCCCCAGATGGGCTGAGCCAGGCCCTGTGGGCAAGGCCCTGGGGATGGGATGCCTGGGGCTCCAGGTGTTGTCCCAAGTCAGTCACTGGTACTTGTTCCTAGACACCACAAGGGACCCGAGGCCAGGAGAGGAGAACGGCAAAGGTGAGCTTGGCCAGCCTCAGTGCTCCAGCACAGGAATGGAGCAGCCCTCCATTTGTCAGAGTGATGCATGAGGCCTCAGCCTCCCCATCAGCTCCTCCTCCTTTGCAGATTACTACTTTGTGACCAGGGAGGTGATGCAGCGGGACATTGCCGCCGGAGACTTCATCGAGCATGCCGAGTTCTCAGGGAACTTGTATGGGACCAGGTGGGCCATGCTTGGGGCCCTCCCTTCCTCCAGTTCTCTCAGGAACCTAGAGTGGGCAGCCCAGGCAGGGGTATCTCTCTGTGGGCATTGAGCAGCGGGTCTCCCCTTGGCTGGGCCCCAGGTGGGGGGTTTCTTTCTATGGGCTGTCTGGGCAGTTGGGGCAAGGGACCCAGCCCCCCAGGGGGTCAGGATGCAGCCACAGTCAGGGCTCTCTGGGCCACTCCCTCCTGGCCCAGCCCCACTTGTGTCTACCTGGCCAGGCTGCTGTGAGAACAGTGGGCCACACAAGGGCCTGGTATGCAATGAGGACTTGGAGGACCTGGGTCTCATAGGTCGGCAGGTTGCACTTCCCCCCCCCCACCTCCAACCCCTGGGGTAGCCTGAGAGGGTCCCTGGCACAACAGCAGCTGCCCCTCCCAACAACCCACCAGAGCGGGGTCTTTGCTGGCTCCTCGCACCTGGCTTGCAAGGCCTGGAAGCAGTGCCTTGACACAGGCAGGCATGCCTCTGTGCATAGCCTGTCCCTGAGCCACCTAGCTGGGTGAGGCAGGGACCCCACAGGACCCAGCATACTCTGCCCCAGGTGCAGATGGGAAGAGTGGTGGGCTGCCAAGTGGGGTCATTTGGCCACTGTTGGGACACTCAATGCCTGCTGAGGGGCAGTGCCCCCAGTGGATGAGGAGCACATGGTACGTGGTGACCCTAGGGTGAGGGGCCAAGGCCTACAAAGAGTGGCCAGGGGATGAGGAAGCCCAAGGGCGTGCCGTGTAGTTCTGTGGGGGCCATACCAGGGCATCCCTCTCCAAGCAGGGCCCCAGCATGCAGGATATGGGAGGGTGGTCGCCATCGCTAGCCTGAGGGCACGATCCAGGGGGTGATGCCAGAAACTTCTGGAGGCATGATTGGCGGGTGGGACTGATTGGGGTGATGGAGTGGTGTGGGGCCTGGGAGCAGGTGCCAGGAGAAGGAGAGGCCCTGGGCCAGGGTCTGAAGGTGCCCCTCCCTACTGCCACACCAGACCAGCAGAGGGCCCCCTTGTGCAAGGGTTGCTCAGGGAGTACTTCCAGAAAGAGGGAACAGATGCCACAGTTAGGGTGGGCCCCTGTGGGCACCCCCAGAGAGGCCCAGAGCAAGGGATGGGCAGTAGATGGTCCCACTGAGGCTCTTCGAGGCCATGGGGTCTGCTAGGGCCTCAGGAGCCCACAGCTGAGCAGCCCCTCTCCTATCATCCCCCAGCAAAGCAGCTGTGCGGGCCGTGCAGGCCATGAACCGCATCTGCGTGCTGGATGTGGACCTGCAGGGCGTGCGCAACATCAAGAAGACCGACCTGCGGCCCGTCTACATCTTTGTGCAGCCACCCTCACTGGATGTCCTGGTGGGGGCTGAGGGAGGAGGGCGGGGGGGCAACCCTGGAGGCTCTGACCTTCTGACTTTCATACTTCGTCTCAGGAGCAGCGGCTGCGGCAGCGGAACACAGAGACAGAGGAGAGCCTGGCTAAGCGTCTGGCTGCTGCCCGGGCTGACATGGAGAGCAGTGAGTGTGGGCACCTATCCCTCCGTGTCCCTGGACCCTCTCCAACCCCCACAGTAGAACAGTCCCACCCAGCAAGGGGCAGAGGAGGGCTGGAGCCATCACCTAGCACTGTGGTCCACGTGAAGGGTCCCCGGACCCCCTCCCCTCTGTCACCAGAGCCTCCACTGACCCTGCCCCCACCCTCAGGCGAGGAGCCCGGCCTGTTTGACCTGATCATCGTCAACGACAGTCTGGACAAGGCCTACTGGGCCCTGAAGGAGGCGCTCTCCGAGGTGGGCTGGGGGTGGAGGTGGGGCCTCAGACCTCTGTCTGGCAAACGGGGAAAATAGGCTGGGACAGGTGATATGGCGACCCCAGGCCCTGGGCGAGACCCTCTTCCTTTTCCCAGCCTCTCTTCCTTTCTCCCCGGCAGGAAATAAAGAAGGCTCAAACAACTGGTCACTCCTGAGCAGGTCCACCGGCTATAACTCCTCAGGTGGGGCCTAGGGCCTGGCACCCACCCGCAGCGGGCCAGGGTCTCCGGCAGTGGCTCTGCTCACCTCAGCTAGCACCCAGGGTTTGGGGTGCTGCCTATCTTCCCTCACTCCCCCACCGTGACTGGAGGACTTTTCTCTCACCCCCTCTCCCCATGTCCATTTCTAGGCTTCCTCCCCACCCTGCCCTATCAACCCCCCTCCCATGGAAGCTGGGCCGACATCCAAATAAAAAACTGCTGGGTTAGAGTGTCCTTGAGCCCTTGGATCATGGCTCTGGGTGGGTGGGGCCACGGTATACCACTCCAGACCCACCCCCCACCCCACCCTGCTCTTGGCAACCACACCCTAACTGGCCAGCACCTGGAGGTCCTTGGGCAGCAGCATCCATCTGACATCTGCTGCTCTGGGCTGCCGGGCCCCCAGAGAGGGCTGCCCCTGAGCTGCTGCACGCTACTTGCCCAGGGCTCCCACCAGGTGGGTGCAGGGCCTCATCCCCCACTGTCTCTTTGAGTTGCCGTTGAGGCCGGGGTCAGAAGGTCCTGGGGGCTCATCCTGCATGAACCACTCCTCCTGGTCCCTGAGCTGGGCTGATGGTGGCAGAGGGACAGACACTGCATACCTGAGGAGGGACTGAGACTACAGAGGATGGACCTCTGCATCTGGGGGCCTTGTGCATGGCCCACTGGGGGTCTGGCCGGCCATAATGTTCCTGGAGAGGCCAGCCCAGGGAAGACACCTGGGGACCTCTGTTAGGGTTCCAGGCTCTGTGGAGTCTCAGAAGATACCTCCAAAAGCTGCCCATCTCAAGTTGGGGCAGCTGAGTTGTACTAGGCACAGGAGGCACTTGCCTGAGCCCTGGTCCATGCCCAGGCCATGCTCCTATGGTGGAACCCAGACAGATGGTGGATGCAGACCTGGAGGAGGCAGGGAACCCAGACAAATAGAAAGGCTGCGCTCCATCCAAAAGTCCAGATGCACAGCGGAGGGCAGGCGAGAGCTGGGCCTGGACACTGGACGGTGGGCAGAGGGGCGCTGGGCAGCCCCTAGGCCTGGGGGCAAGTGAAATGGGGCTGGGCTGCCTCCTGACCTACTGTACAGCCTGGGAGAGACTGGTTCCCTCTCTGGGACCCATCCAGCCCCAGGGACAATCAGGGATTCAGACCCCGAGCCTCAGGGGGAACAATGGAGCCCTTGAAGGCCCTCCCCCCACATTGTGCTTGGTGGTGAGAGGTGGCCCTGGGTCGGGTCGGGCCCTGGACTTAGCCGGGTGCACACCCTCAGGAGGGCTGGTGTCCAGCCGGCCAGCAGGTGGAAGGGCTCAGAAGGACTTGTTTCCTGGCCTGGAAAAGGTAGGGTACCACCAGGGGATCAGGTTTGGGGTGCCCTTTGGGGCTGACAGCACCCTGTTTACTCTGGGCCCAGGGTCTCAGGGGCCTGGACTCAACTCTCTTGGAACAGCCAACCCCAGGAGATAACGGGTGCTGAGCCTGGTTGGGTGGCCCTCCATTCTGGGGGTCTGTCCATCTCAGGCCCACTGCCCTCACAGGGCCATCAGTTTGGGTGGTGATTCAGCTGCAGTAAGACTCAAGGGTAGGAGGAGGTAGAGGCAGAAGTCTGCCCCTCCCCCTCCCCCAGAAGCTGCTCAGGCCAGCTGATGAGCAAGGGGGGAAGGTGGTGGGCCTCCGAGCAGCTGGGACCCCTCAGGCCATGTGGGACTGGCCAGCCCCTGCCAGCTAGGCAGCTGCAGTGTATCCAGAGGCTGATGCCTTGGGCTATTCAGCGCTGGGGGGAGGTTGGGGAGCCCCAACTCTTCCACATGGGCAGACAAGCTGTAGTTGGTACACCTGCCTGCTGTCCACACTGCTCTTGGTTTAGCCTTTATGTGGCCACGGGCACCTCCTAAACCCTTGTGGCCACCTGCTAGGTCTTGCGTCCTCAGATCTGGGTCCTGGAGGTTAGCAGAGCAGAACAGACTCCTGTTCTCCAGGAGCAGCACCCATTGTGCCACAGATGTGAGTTGTCTGGATGCGGACTGCGTGCAGGGTGGCTGGACATGAATGGGGAGCGGGACTGGGCTGGGGTCCTGACAAGGGCAGCACGGCTGAGGGGCGGCAGCTGGTCCTGTGGTATGCTCGGCTGTTGGAGGAGCAGGTGGACACAACAGGTGTTCAGGGCAGGAAGGGGGTATGCAGGGCAGAGAGAGTGGCACTGCCACACACTGAGGGGGCAGAGCCTGCAGTGGCTTTAACGCGGCGTTTTGGGCCGCATCAGGGTGGAGGGTTGAAGGAGAGGTTGAAAATGTGGGCACCCCATGGAGTCCGAGGGGCACAGTGTCCTGCCCTTGGCCAGCAATGCCTGGGGAGGTCCTTGAGGGGGCACCGAGCTTGGGCAGGGGTCCTGGTTCAGCCTCACACCCTTGCTCCTCCTGACACCTCCCCCTGCCAAAGCCCAGGGTTCTACGGCCCAGGCCGCCCTGTAGCAGCAGTTCCTGGCCTGGCTGCGGGAGCGGTACAGGCTGCGCCACCATGACTCACTCCCTAGGCCTGTCCCCACCACACCCTCCACTCCTGCAGGAGGCCCCTCACTTCCCAGGTTCCAGGCTGGAGCAGAGCAGAGAGGGGGCCCCCTCGTTCCTCCACAGACCCAGAGTCACCATGGGACGTGGTTACCAGCCCAGCCACCTGCACCTCCAGAGGCCCTGGGGGGGAGGAGGGCCCTCCCACCTCAGGTTTACACCAGCCCTCCCCAGAGCTTCCAGGCAGGGCTCCACTGCCTCAGACATTGAGTCATCCCACTGGCATTTGCTGAGCGTTTGGTGTGATTGGGGGCACTGAGCGTGCGGTAGGGACACCTCACTCTTCTGGCTGTGGAGGGAGCTTCCCAGAGGAAGGCCATTGGAGCGGTACAAGGCGGAAAGCAGTGCGTGTGTGTGCCTGAGCGTGAGGATGAAGTGTGTGGGCGTGCAAATGCGTGTATAAGTGTGTGGGTATGCAGTTGTTAGAGGGAGGGAGTCCAGACATGGTCAGCTCTGAGGTGGACAGGAGCAGGTCAGGAAGTTCCTGAGGACCTCTGAGGATATGGGTTTTGTGCTGAGAGCCCCAGGCTCCCTGGGACCCAACCCAGTGGGGCCTGTGTCCCCACCTTGGGGTGCCTGCAGGAGGGGAGATGGGGATAGGGGACTGGGAAGGGAACCTCGCCACTAGCTGGTGTCTACACTGTGGGAGGCTGTGGTGTGCACTGGAGTTGCTGGGGGCGGATGGATGTGGCAGAGGGTCCCCAGGCCTGGGGTCTGGGTTTTGGGCACCTGGGTTGGGCGTGGGTGCACACCTCTCAGTGGCCAGGGGGTTCAGGCAGGACACAACTGGGGCATCCGGGACAGGGGCACAGGGAGGGAGGGACATGGAAGACAACCCACAGAACCACTAGCAAACTGACAAGGGAGAGACCTCGTGGGCATCCTAAGGCCAGGCTGTGAGGGAGGCCACCATTGGGAGGCCTGGGAGCTAGTGGAGGTGGAGAGAAATCGGATTTCTTCAGGCATACAGCACTGGGGACTGAGCAAGGCAAGTGCTGCAGCCCCACTCTCTGAGTAAGAACTCTCCCCCACAGGGCACTTCAGTGGGTGGGTAGGCAAGCAGCAGGAGGGAGACCTTAGCCTGGGAGGTGGGTGGATTGCAGGAGCAGCCCCTGGTCCCTGATCTAAGGCCTCAAGTCTCCCAGGGCTGAGTCCACCTTGGGCTACTTGTAGGTACTCATATGTAGAAGAGGGACCACCCGGAGGGACCACCCAGTGCCAGGTGCGTGCAGGAATCTGAGTCCTCAGGAAGGGAAAGAGGTTATCTGAGATGCCCAGGTTCCCAGGGAAGGGTTCCACCAGTCCTCTTGGTGAGCTGAGCACTCCACTCTGGGGGGGTGGGGGGGGCAGCCAGGCAGCCCCACCTCAGCCAAAGGAAGTCCACCCACCATGAGAGGGGGCACATGGGAGGAAGCTGGGCCAGGGATGGGAAGGAAATGGCTGGGCAGGCCCTGACCTCACTACTACAGGAGGAGGCACTGGGCATCTCTGGTTCTCAGCCTCTGACCACCCCCCCCCCCCACCAGCCCAGGACCTTTGTTCAGACCCAGGGGTGAAAGGGGCTTGAAGCGGGGAGAGCCCAGCTGCCCACCCCTGCAGGAGCCACTCCGTTGGTGCCAGAACCAGGTGTGCAGGGCCCAGCTCACCCCAGCACAAGTCATCCTGATGCCCACTGGAGCCCATGGTGCCTGCCTATCACCCTCCTCCCAATAGGGTGCCTCCTTGAGCAACTCTTGGTGAAGATGACCCCAGCCCCCTTCATGGGGATCCCCCATGTGTGCCCTGCACCCTGCCCAGTCACCCCTCCCTCCCCCGACCCCACACCCTTTAGTGAACACTCCCAGGCCTGCCCCCTCCCAGACCTTGACACCCAGGGGCACCTGGGCCCCTTCTCCCCAAACCTCATCCTGGATCCCACTTGAGTGGCCCCCATCTGCACTTGCTCTAACATGTAGCTTTGGGTGAGATTCCCTCTGGGGAAAGGATTCCCTCTGGGACAAAGGTCCCAGCAAGATTCCCTCTGGGACAAAGGTCCCAGCAAATGCCAGGGCCTTGTTCCCTGAGGGGCCAGCACCCCCTCACACACCCTACTCTCCTGCTGGCCCAGCCCAGAGCCAAGCTCCCACTGGCTGCCTCCCATCAGCACTGGGCAGCCATGGGCCTGGCCTTTGCCTCCCACTGCCCCATCTCTGTGTTGGGGTCCTTCTTGCCCCCCACAGCCCCAGGACAGGTCACAAGCAAAACTCCCAGCTCTGTGCTTGAAGCCTCCAGACATAGAGAAATACGTTCCAGATGGGACAAGACAGGGAGAGGGAACTTGAAGTGATGGAGTAGGAAACCATTTTAAATAAGGTTTTTAATTTTACAACACGTGTGATTTACAGAGAAGCTATAAAGAGACCAGGGAGAGTTCTCATTTGCCCCCAAACCCAGTTCGCAGTGATGTGCTTGTCACAACTGGTGCACCAATATTGATACATTGCCGTTAGCCAAAGATTCCTCACTTTTCCATGTGTCCTTTTGCTGTCCCAAGGTCCCCGAGGGGTGACTGTCCTCGTGTCTCCTTGGTCCCTCTTGGGGGTGACTCCCTCAGACTTCACTAGTTACTGATGCCCTTGGCATTTTGAAGGTCAGGTAGTTTGTAAAAGCCCCTGCTGGAACTTGTGTCAATGTATCTCATGATCGCCTGGGGTGAGGGTTTGGGAAGAAGCCTCCGGGGCAGCAAGGTCTGTGCTCTCAACTTGGCTCCTCCCTGTAGGTGGGGACCTCGGCCACCTGCCTGAGGTGATGTCTGTCAGGTTGTACTCCTCCCTCCCTCCTTGCTGTGCTCTCTGGAAGAGCACCCTCCTTGAGGTCACAGTGACTACATGAATTATTCAGAATTCCCTTCTCCCCCATTTAGTTAGTTATTGTATCATTTGTATCAGTGGGGTCTCATACATTTTCTACCTTGGGCAACAATCTATAAACCAATCTATAATAGCAGGGTGGTGGGCTGGCCTCAGAGGCAATCGGGTGGAGAGACAGGACCAGGGGGCAGGGCTCAGCGTGGGGTGAGGTGGAGCGGGAGTGTGGGCGGGGAGTGGACGCTCGTGGGACTGCGGCGTAGCAGAAGCCCCAGCAGGGGTGGTTTCCGCCTGTGTGGGAGCAGAATGCGGGTGCTGGTGCGTTGGGACCAGGTGCGCTTGGCATTTTACTGCAACGTCGGGGGGAGTGTCAGGAGCACAGGTCGATGGGCTTCCTAAGGTGCTTGGCAGAAGCGAGGCAGGCCCAGGGAGCGGCAGGACCCGGCGGAGTCCGGTTCAGGGTTTTTGCTGATGAAGCGGAGGGGGTGCTGAGCGGAGAGCCGTCCAGGATAAGCCCATCTGAGAGGAAGACGCTTTGGAGGGAAATTTTTGGGTCTGGTCGTCTGGGGTTTGCTGTGCCTGCTGGCATCCATGTGCCGATCCAGCAGCTGGCACCAGAAGTCTGGATTTGGGGGACCCCTGCGCATGGCACTGAGGGCCTGGGCTCCTCCAGGCCATAGCTGGTCAGCATCAGCCCCCTGACCATGGAATGACCCCGCTGTGACACAGGCCCTGCACACACATGTACACAGCACGCAGGCATGGGCCCTTGGGTCTGAAGAGCCAGAGCCTCTGCTCCACACCCAGAGGGTGCCTGAGCTCCCCCACTGGCACAGGGGGAAGGAAGAGAGGAGGTTTGCTCACCCTTCCTGCTGCCCAGGCTGTCCCCTTCTGCTGACAGCCTGCAGGGCCTGCACCCTCTTTCCTCCACACAACTTATCTCTGGGGGTGCTCTGACTGCACAGGTCAGCCCCCCAGGACAAAGTGCCATCCTTCACACCCCAGGGCAGGGTCCATCCAGTGCCATGCTAGAGCTGGTCTCAAGAACCCTGTCCTCACCCCCCACTCCCCGCCCCCGTGAGTGTCTCCTCGAGCTGGTCATGGGCCTGGTGGGCGCATTTATACCACGGGAGTCAGCAAACACTACACCAAGGCTTTTCCACCGAGGGCCAGTTGTTAAATACCACACAGAAGGGGTCAGGACTGCCCTGGCACCCCCACCCTCCCTCCCATTTCTCCACTGGGCTCCATCTTGGAGGGGAGAGAAGTGGGGGATGCTCTGCCATCCCTTTTCTGGGTTCCTGCATGGTGGGATTATAGGCCTCAGCCTCCTGGGATGTGGGACTGTCGAGGTCAGGGTTGGGGACAGGTCCTGAAGGAGAGCTGAAGTTAGAGCTGAGGAAACATAGCCAGCTGAGGACATCAAGACCCTCATGCTCATTCCTCCTTGAGGCAGAGGTATATCAAAGGTGGCCCTGAAGGGCTGGGCATGTGCCAGTCTGTGTACCTGTAAATGTGTGTGCCTGAGTGCATTGCACATGTGAGTGTGTGTATATATATGTATGCACATGTGTGTCTGAGTGAACGTATTTGCATGTGCACTTGTGAGTGTTTGCATGTGTGTGGCTATGAGGGGGCGCTGCACACAGATGTGAGGAAATAGGGTCACTTCCCCAGGAACCCCGGCTGCCCCCTCTTCCTGCCCCCACCCCTGCCCCGGGAGAGGCCCCAGCTCCATAAAGAGGGCCCGGAGCCCTGAATGCCCCTGTTGTTCCATTCCACACCTGACCACGCTGCCTCCCAGGCCTGTTCCAGAAGGAGGGGGCCAAAAGCATCAGGTACTCAAGGGTCTTCTGCCTCCAAACTACCCAGGAGCAGGTACTGGTGTGGAGGAGGGAGGGTGGGCATTAGGAGGCTGCAGCCCCCTCCCTAGAGGTGCAGGGGTACAGGGGTGTCTGGTCCTGCCCACTGAGCCCCTTCTAGGTACAGGCTCACTCAGGGGTAGCTGATCTAGAAGGAGCACTGGTCTGGGACGTGGTAAGTGGCCACATGGCTGTCTCCGAGTGTCACAGGTGCCCGAGTGTGGTTGTGTGTGTGCCTTACGGTGTCTGTGGGCCTCGCTGCACATAGTGCCACCCTGAACAGACACCTGGGCTCACCCCCTCACACCCCAGCCAGGATGTGCAGAGGACATGGGAGTGCTGGAACAAGAGGGAGGAGCAGCCTGGAGGGTAGGCCTCAGCCCCTGGTACAGCTGGACCAGTGGCGGGGGTGGGGGGGTGCAAACAGCACGGCAGTGGTCCTTTGTGGAGACAGGGGGACCAGAGCCCCTGTCCAGGATGTGGAGGAAGTGGGGGCCCACTGTTGGGGCGTCTGGAACTGATGGGGCTGGGGGCTACAGGGGCTGGAGGCTGACAGAGCTGTTGGGTCTGGGGATGGATGGGATTAGGGGGTGATGAGAAGGCTAGACTAGGAGGCTGAGGGCTGAGGGCCACTGGGTCTAGGGGCCTGGAGAACTGTGGGCTGATGGGGGACTGGAGTGGCTGAGGAGCTGGGGGGCCAGGCAGGCTGCAGGCCCAGCCCTTGGTGGGCCCCTGGCATGCTGGAAATAGGAATCCAGCAACCTGGGTGCTGCAAGGTGGGAGCAGGCATCTGAGGTGAGGCCCAGACTCTGAGCGAGGCTGGTCCGTTTTCTGGTTGGCCTTACGAAGGCAGCTCACCCAGTGGACTCCCTGTGGCTCTCAGGGCCTGGGGTGAGGTCCCCAGAGGCTGGGTAAGGGACACAGCTTGCACGGCACTGGGCTTTCCTAGAGAGCTGGGGGAGGGCAGGAGGGCTGGCCCTGCTCCAGGCCACAGGGACCTAGAGTCGGGTTTTGGGGGGAGCAAGGGTATGTGCTCAGCCAGAGAAGGAGACCCCTTGTCTGTCCTTGTAGGATCTATCCTCTGGCTGCAGAGGCCCCGGCCTCTTGCTGATCCCTCCTACGGCAGGGTCAGGACCCTAGGTGAGGGCGGCGCTCCTGGAGGGGCTCCAGGTGCCACTGTACACCCTTCCAACCCACCAGCCCTTGCCCCCATTACCCTCGCCCCAGGTTGAGCTCCTGCTCATGGCCTGCAGGTCCCATCCCCCGCCCCTATGACCAACATGAGCTGGAGCTTCCTGACGCGGCTGCTGGAAGAGATCCACAACCACTCCACGTTCGTGGGCAAGGTATGGCTCACAGTGCTGGTGGTCTTCCGCATCGTGCTCACGGCGGTGGGCGGTGAGTCCATCTACTCCGATGAGCAGACCAAGTTCACGTGCAACACACGGCAGCCGGGCTGCGACAACGTCTGCTACGACGCCTTTGCACCCCTGTCCCACGTGCGCTTCTGGGTTTTCCAGATTGTGGTCATCTCCACGCCCTCCGTAATGTACCTGGGCTATGCTGTGCACCGCCTGGCCCGCGCCTCACAGGACGAGCGCCGCCGCGCCTCTCGCCGCCGACAAGGCCGCCTCGCGCCCCGTGCACCCCTGCCGTTGCCCCCACCGCCCCACCCGGGCTGGCCCGAGCCCGCAGACCTGGGCGAAGAGGAGCCCATGCTGGGCCTGGGTGAAGAGGACGAGGATCCGGGGGCGGCTGAGGGCCTGGGCGAAGATGATGAGGCTGAGGACGCGGGTGCAGCCAAGGGCGCAGGAGGGGACTCAAAGGCGACTGGGGTCCCAGGCCCGGCAGGTCAGCATGACGGGCGGCGGCGCATCCAGCGCGAGGGGCTAATGCGCGTGTACGTTGCCCAGCTGGTGGCGCGGGCCGCCTTCGAGGTGGCCTTCCTGGTGGGCCAGTACCTGCTGTATGGTTTCGAGGTGCGGCCCTTCTTCGCGTGTAGCCGGCAGCCCTGCCCGCACGTGGTCGACTGCTTCGTGTCGAGACCCACTGAGAAGACGGTCTTCCTGCTGGTCATGTACGTGGTCAGCTGCCTCTGCCTGGTGCTCAACCTCTGTGAGATGGCGCACCTGGGCCTGGGCAGCGCGCAAGACGCTGTGCGCAGCCACCGCCCCCTGCCCACCACCCCTGGCCCCATGCCTCGCCAGCAGCCCTGTGGTCTCCCCGCCGCGCCTTCGGGCCTGGCCTGCCCGCCAGACTACAGCCTGGTGGTGCGCGCGGCTGAGCGCGCACGCACCCACGATCAGGACCTGGCCAACCTGGCGCTGCAGGCGCTTCAGGACCGGCGGTCACTTGGGGACCTCGACAGCCCACCAGGCCCTGGCCTTCCAGCAACCGCCCGGGGGCCCCTGAGGGCCGGCGCCCCTGCCTCCGGGTCGGGCAGTGCCACGTCGGGGGGCACTGCCGGGGGCCAGGGCCAGCCAGGGGCCAAACCCAGGATGGGCTCTGAGAAGGGCAGTGCGAGCAGCAGCAGGGAGGGTAAGACCACCGTGTGGATCTGAGGCCTGCATTGGCTGCTGTTCCTCCTCCCTCCTCACCAGGGCCGAGGTGGAGGGCTCTGGAGGAAGTCTAGGGTCTGGACACTGCCTAAGGGGCAGAGCACAACCTACTCTCCTCCCCCTTAGGTGGCTGCTCTCCCCCTCGGGAGGGGGCGGAGGGCACCAGCCTGCTCTGCATCACTGCCCCTCCCTGTCTGAGCCCCATCTTCATCCAGGATAGGGTGGGGAAGGTAGGCCTGGGAATCACGAATGGTCCCCAGCTCTGGTCCATAAGCCCTGATGGGTAGGTGGAACTGTGGCTGGGGCATTTCCACCCTCCCAGAGCCACCCAGCTGGCCACCTCAGGACAAGGCTGCCCTCCAGGAGAGAGCTCCACCCCCTCCTGCCCCACTTTCCCACCAGTAGCCCATGTGTGACTGCCCAGCGGTGCTTGGCCTGGGTCTTGGGGAGTACTGTGCTTGTCCTCACTCCCTGCCCAGCAAATGGGGCTCTTTTCCTAGCACCCACACTCTTCTAGCCCAGGTTCTGGTTCTTGCAGAGATGGAAGCAATGCCAGGTCTTCCTTGTACAGAAGGGAAAACAGAGACCACAGTGGGCAGAGGCCCCTGTGCCCAGCCCTGGTTGGTACCACCTCCTGCCTCACCCCCACTAGGCCCCAAGCATGAGCTGCCTCGAGTGCCAGGTGGACCTGCACCCTGCTTCCTGTTCCCTGCCCAGGCAGATCTGGGGCTCAGGCCCCACATGGGCCCCAGGGTGGATGGGACCATGCCCTCTCCAGCTCCTGTGCTGGCCTGGCGTGGCCCCTTCCTCTGGGACATACTTCAAGTTCTGAAAAGACATCAGTCCCCCTTACCACTCAGACCAACAGGATGGTGGTGAGGGGCTATAGCTTTGCCCATGTTAGGGGAAGGCGCTCTGAGGCTCCCACCACAGCCTCTTCCCTCCAGCCCCCTGTCCAATTCAGACACAGCCTCCAAAAGGAGTGAAATAAAACTAACTTTTGTTTACAACCACATGTGTATGTGTATGAATGTCCGCATAAATGTGTGTGTGTGCTTGTGTATGTATGTGGGAGTGTGGTGTGTGCACATATGTGTGAGTACATGTCCACCGCTGGCCTCTGGGGACACATGGCTCAGCTCTAGGATGGCTGGGAGAGGAAACCACTTTGCAGGGGCCATATGGGGAGCAAGGCCCAGGTTGAGCCCCTGCAGCTCCTTGGAGACACTCTGGTGCCTCTCTGTGCCAGGCAACAGGCTCTGCCCAGAGGGGAGGGATATGGCTGAATGAGAACAAAGAACAGCCGGGCCTGCATGTTTAGAGCCCAAGGTGGTAGCTCAAAGGACAGAGAGGCAGTCCTGTCTCAGGCCCCAGCATTATCCAGATGCTGGCCAAAGCCTGCAGTGGTAGCTTTTGGTGGGGAGCAAAGGTGAGCACAGTTGGGGAAACAGCTGCTGCCGTCAAGGAGCCACCTTGGTCTAGACTTCAGTGATCCTGCTGTCTACCAGCTTCCCTCAGGCCCAAGGAAGGCCCTGAGAGCTTTTCCCAGATTGCAAATCCTCTCTGGGGTCCCAGGGCCAAGCCCCAAGCCTGGGTGAACCCCAACCCAGCCTGCCTGTAGTCAGATGCCAAATGCAGGCTGAGTCCCTTTCCTTTGTGGGGTCTGACTGGCTGATCCCGGGTTCCAGGTGACCCCACCCCAAGGTGAGCCTTGCCCCCAGGTAAGCCCCACCCCCACGAAGTCCCAGATGTCAATGCTGGAAGCAGAGCCTCAGAAGGAAAGCCAATCCAGGTCCAGAGCAGGGACTCACCACTTGCCTCTCCAAGAGAGGAAAGCCCATGGAACTGGCATCCCTGCATTTGGGGCTGTGCTGCTGGCAGTGTCGTCATGAGGAATACTGGGTTTCTGTGGTGGGGAACATGCTGTCCAGCCATGCCTGGCTCCCATCAGTGTGACTGGGTGCAGTGAGCGGCAGAGCTGGTGAAGGATATCTGCAAGGCACTATTGTTGGCTGACACCCTTGCCGTGGCCCCTCCATAGCCTCCCTGCCCACTGTGTCCCTGAGAGCAGCCTCCTGCAGCCAGTGGAGGGCCTGGAGGACATCAGGACCTCAGGGAGTTAAGTGGGCATTCAAGGTGGGGAATAGTGGGAGACTTTAGGGTTCAGAACCACCCTAGTGGCTGGAGAGGGCTGGTGAGGAAGGCAGGTGTCCACTCCGAGCAGGACCCAGAGGTTGGCCTCGATCCTGATGGTCAGTGCTCCCACATCTCAAGGCCATGAGGCACACTTGATGGTGACAGGGTCCCACAAGGGGTGGAAGGTGGGGCATGGGCCCTCAGCCTGCCTGAAAAGAAGCCTTAAGCCAGCAGACAGGGAGACCCTGGGTGGTTTTGTGTTTGGGGAAGAACATTCTGGATTTCACTGTGACAGTGTCCAGGGAAGCCTTCCCCCATCCTCTCTGTGGAGTAACATCAGGATCTCACCCTCTATAACTCGGGTTGGGCTCCTGGTGTAGTTTCAGCCTGGGAGTGTCTGGTGGGGCCAGGGCTGGCTCAACGATTTCCTCACTCACCGAGCTGGGGGTCCATGCTGGGGTCCCTCGATGTGGTTTGGACCTCCTTGCAGCATGGCGGCCCAAGAGGACCCAGCAAAGGCCAACTGACTCTTATCACCAGCCCTAAAGTCATATCACTTCACATCATAGCAGTCACAGGCCTGCAGGATCCCTCTCAATGGGCCAGTGTCACATTTTAAGGACATGTGGAATAGACTCTGTTGGCCTTGGTCCGCTGGCCCCCCTAGCCACGTGTGAAGCCCTTCAGCACCCCTCCCACCCGCACACACAGGGGCACGTGATCTTGGGGCCTCTGCAGCCACTGCTCCCTTCTTTTACCACAGTTCTGATATCGGTCCATAATTCGCCCCATACTGTTTAGCCTGTCCAGTTTCTATCATCTCAGTCCCCCCACCCCTAATTGGTTTAGATACAATTTGAGGCAGCTGGGTCAATGGGAACAGGACACTGCCCAGGGGCTCCTGGGGAAATCTATTTGCTGCGTGTCTGTGACATGGAAGTCAGATGTGGGTCAAGCTGTGAGTCTCTGTGCTCAGTGGGTTGGTCCAACACCAATCCAGATGTTGCGGTGAAGGTGTTTTTTTAGATGAGATTAGCATTGACAATCTGTGGACTTTGATAAAGCAGACCATCCTCCCTAACGTGGGTTGCCCTCATCCAATCAGGTGATGGCCTTAAGAACAAAGACTGAGGTTCCCAAAGAAGTGATTCTCCCTCCAGACTGCCAGTGATGATTACATTTATGGGTCAGCTTAACTGGGCCCTGGGATGCCCAGAACAAGCGTGATTCTAAGTGTGTCTATGAGGGTGATTCTGGATGAGATTCACACTGAATCTGCACACTGAGTAAAACAGATGGCCCTCCCCAGTGCGGGTGGGCCTTGGCCAATCAGGTGAAGGCTTGAGTGGAACAAAAAGGTGGAGTAAGAGAGAACTCCTGCCTGACAGTTTGAGCAAGCACACTGGTCTCCTGTCTTCAGATTCAGACTCAGGCTAGAACTCTCCTGAGTCTCTAGCTTGTAGATGGCAGACCTTGGGACTCCTCAGCCCCCATAGTTGAGTGAGCCAATTCCTTATAATAAATCTTTATCGAGTTGGTTCTCTTTCTCTGGAGAACCCCAACTAATCAACATCCCATCAGCCAGAGGTTGTTAAAAGGGCATCCCAGCTGTGAGGAAAACTGCAAATGGAGGCTCTATTCTGGGAGGTATCTCAGTCAGCTCAGCCTGTGTAACAAATACCATAGACTGGGGGCCCAAACAACAGACATCTATTTCTCATAGTACTGGAAACTGGAAGTCTGAGACCAAGGTGTCAGCACCTGAGGCCACTCTCCTTGGTGTGTAGACAGCTGTCTTCTCCCTGTGTCCTCGCATGGTCTTCCCTTTGTGTGAGTCTGTGTCCTCATCTCCTCTTCTTATAAGGAAACCAGTCCTATTGGATTAGGGCCCACCCCAGTGACCTCATTTGACCTTAATCACCTCTTTAAAGACCCCATCTCCTAATACAGCCCCGTTCTGAGGTCCTGGGCATTAGGGCTCCATAATGTGAATTTGGGGGGATGCAATGCAACCCATATTAGAAGGCAGATGCCTAACTAAAAGCTCAGTCACCACAGAAGGGGATCCTAATGCATAAGCCTCTTGTCTCAGGAACTTAGGGGCCTGTATGAACCACTGGGGTCCTGTATGTTTTGTGAGCTTTCAATGGGAGTGACTTAGGATTTACTGTCATGTCCTCCCAACTGATGTCACTGGCCATCCCAGGCTAGGGGAGCCAACCTCTGTGTCATACACGTTCCTACCTCTAACACCAATTTCTTGATGTTTTGAACCACCATAGCCATGATCTCATGCCTGAGCCCCGATACCCTAACAGGGTGTCCATCTCCCACCTATGACATAGTATCTAGTATGCCCAAGTCTGTTAACTCTCAGAGGTGGAACCCAACCACTAAACTTGGCACTTAATGCTCACCTAACTACATAAAAAAAAAAATCCTCTCAGTGCCTGTATGGCCATGAGGCTGGAGAGCTGAACTGGGGTGCAAAGCCATCGACCCTCGCCCCCCATCTTCTGTGCTCTGGAGCAGGCTGGTGGGTTGAGCCCAGGCCTCCCCACCACTGCTTCACTGTCTGGTGGGGTCCTCGGGCTGTGTGGGGCCCACCCAGGTCTGTATAGGGGCAGGGCCAGGCCAGGGGAGCGGCTGGAGCAGGATCAGACAGAACGGCCTTGTCTCATTCTCATCTGTTTCCATGGCTGGAGCCAACTCACCGGCTGCTCAGGGAGATCGTGGAGGGCTTCAGGGAGGGGGGTGCCCAGAATGGGGGCAGCTTCCTTCTTCTGACTTTGGGAAGGGAGGAGGCCATGAGGAGAGAATAACAGGAAACAACCCCTGGCCTGGCAGCAGCTGGGAAACAGGGTCTGGGACCCCCATGTCTGCTGATTTTCCAGCTCTCAGATCCCCACCCCTCCCGACAGCTCCAGGGCCCATGGCCTCAGAGGGAGGAGATGCACATGGGATCCAGCAGCAACCTATGCCTCCAGCTGGACCCAGGCCAATGAGTGGGGTTCCTTGGGAGCATCCTGAGACCAGTCCACAGTTCCCTCCACCTAGACCTGTAGGCATGAGAAGCTGCAGTGAGAGGACCTGAGAAGGAGCAGTAGCCAGGCCATGCCCACATGCAGGGGCCCTGCTGTCAGGCTGGCCAGGCTGGTGCAGAGATCTGGGAAGCCTACCTGGAGGAGGGAGCCTGAAGCAGTGCTGGTTGGCAGACTCTAGAATGCTGGGAAGTGCTGCCTGCTCTGTTCACAGAGGCAGCCACCAGCTGACTGTGGCTCTGGACATTTCAGTGTGGCCCATTCAGTAAGGAGCTAAAAGTTTCATTTGACTTCATTTGAGTTAATTTGCATTTAAACAGCCCCAGGTGGCAGCAGTGGCCCTGCTGGACCAAGTGGGCTGGGCTTGGCACTGGACTGGGAATCAGGTAAGGTTCCGGGTGGCCCTGGGTCAGCCTGCTGGCCCTTCCCACAGGCTGTGCTGGTGGGAAGCAGGTTTTCTGCTGGCCAAGGGATGGGCTGATGTGAGGCTGGAGGAATGCAACCCCCCCCCCCCCCCGCCAATGTTGTCCTCGAATGGTTTCCTCCCTGACCTCACAGGGCTGACAGGGAGGCGCTGGGTCACCCTAGGAACACAGGCCCAACAGAGGAAGACCTTTTCCATGAAAGGCCAGTGGAACTGCATTCCAGGCCTGGCTGCTCAAAACCAGGAAGCTGACTGGGAGGGGACCAAGGGCCTGGAAAACCCTAGGGGGTTCTGGTCAACCAGTTTATGTTAATGAGGTGACTTTTGAAAAGCCCCTAAGGATGGGGGCTGGTTGCCAGAACCAACCATGTGATTAGAGGGTTAGAGCTTTCAGCCCGACCCCTTGACC